GGTAGCAATAAACCACTCGGTAGGTCAGCCAATAGTCATGCTCTAAGGAGTATCAAGGTATAGAATAGAAAATTGACACAGTATGTATTTATATACTCCTTGTCTTTTCATGGTTTGTTTTTTGTAAGTAGATACCTATACTAGACAATCATGTAACTATCTCATCCTGGTTGGGTGAGACGTAAATAGATAGCTCTTTGTACTGTTCGTTGATCTGTAAATTTTTAGACAGTATGGGTAGTTATTTATCCCAGTTGTTTCTAGGTCTTTTGCTTATTAAAATAAATCTTGTTCACCTCGACACAAGGATGAGCTAGTGTTTAAAAAAAAAATTGATTAAGTAAGTTAAAATAAAAAATTTAATAATATAAAATTAATTATTGGAATTAAAAAAAATTCTTATAATAGTTAAATAAAAATATAGTTGCTTTTAAAAGTTTGAGTCCACTTATTATGCTTTTATTATAAATTTAAATTTTGCCAATTTTAAATTCTTAATTACATAATTAAAAATTATAAAATTCATATATATTATATTTTAATACTAGTTTTATATATTATATTTTTTTTAAAAAAATTTTTATAAGTAATTTTTAAAGTTTTATTATTGTTAAAAATTTTATTTCTTTATTAAATTTTTATTTTTGAAGGATTTTAATTAGTTGATATTGTAACTTATATGATAATTAATAAATAAACTAAAGATATTTAACAATAATAAAATGTTAGAATGTATTAATAAAATTTTTTAAGAAATAAAATAAGTATTAAGACACAATATATATGAATTTTATAATTTTTGACTATATAATTAATGATTTAAAAATTGGTAAAGTTGAAATTTATAATAAAGTGAACTCGAAATTTTGAAAACAACTGTATATATAGTATATAATTAATATAAATGTTAAATATTTATCAAGAAATAAATCCAAGTAATTAATATTAGGTAAATTAAAAATAAATTTAAAATAATTCTAGTCAGAAAAAAAAAATAAAATATTGTTTCTTAGATTATATTAAAAAAAGATTTAACTTTGACAATGAGTGAATTAATATAAAAGTTTTAGAAATATATATAAATATTGTTCAAATTCTTATAAATAAATAATTTTTTATAAGTTTTATAATAAGGTTTAAAAATCAAATAAAACAATAATAATAATTATTTATTTATAAGAATTTTAAGGCAAAATTGGATAACTTTAAACAAATATGATTATATTTTATTGTAACAAATATAGTTTTAAAAAATTTTTAAAAACTATTAAAAATTCTATATTTAAAAATTTCGATTTCTCATTATTTTTTTTAACAAAATTTACTATATTGATAAGTCTTTGAAATTCATGTATTGATAAAATTAATCAGTGTATTTAAAAGTATTCATTGATTTGGGCCTAATTTGATTTACAATATACAATATGAGATCAATATCGATGATAAAGACTATTTTAGAACCTCTGATTAAATAAAGTTTTGCATTTAATTATTTGCAAAAAAAGAAAACGACGGTTATTAAATAATATAAAATATGAATTAAAAAAAATTTTTTTTTTTTAACAAAATGAATAAATAAATAAATATTATATTGTTTAAAAAAATTTCGTAAAAGATTGAAAAATATTCAGTTTGACTTTTAAAAAAAAATCAAAAGAAAGGAATCATTGCAATCGTCAAAATAATTATTTGGCGAGAAGCCAAAAATCAAACTTCTTGGAATATACTGTACGTACTGTATATCAATTTCATTACCCATATCATTTTATCATCATTATCATTATATTTTAGTGTACGCTTGTTACGAGTATGAGAAAATTATGTTTCGAACGAAAAGGTTCTTTTAAAAGTGGCACCATCTAAGGATCCGGTTTTGCACACCACTCTTGTCTTATTTTGGTGAACGATTACATTGAAAATGGCCTTGTGATCGCCAAATACAAGATACTAGAAATCGGAATTAGCGAATTAGTAATAATCGGAAAATTTAAGTAAGCTCATTCTCAAATATTATTCTCAATTCACCTGAGGAGAATTTGTGACGGTCACGGCAGGAGAAAAACAACGAAGTTTGGCTTCGACTTGTTCTATTATTTTATTTTTTTAAGTAGAAATGTTAGATTAGTTGAACCTGAACACGAAATAATGTAAAAAAAATAAAAAACAAAAAAAAAAAAAACCAGGAAAGAATTATTCTACATATTATACCATTTTTAGATATCCCATAGCCATACCAACTAGATTTTATGGATAATTTATTGTGGTCGACTCTTTTGACGACGAGCGGGTAAGCTAAAATTTCTTTGACGGTTACCAGTTTGCTGTCGGGAGAAGCGGCGACAAAAAGAAGGGAAACAAAGTATACGATGAAGAAGGTTAAGATTAATTTGTGATTTGGATTCATTGTCATTAAGGAAATTATCACTTGCGAAATTCGAGGGAAGGCGGGAAAAGGCAGCTATATAAGAATACCGCAACTGATTATTGATTGTCCATTTATGTTAAAATAACTAAATTCCAGGCGGAGTAGGTTCATAATTAACGTATAATATTGAATTTATGAAATAAGGATGGATCATTTGCAAAGCAGATTCCACATGGCACAAGCTGCGAATCCTCAACATGACGAAAATCGTTCACTAATCGATTTTGTTTTCATTAGTTCACTAGAGTTTTTTTTGCAAAAGAGGAATGCCCGATAGGTCAATTATTACCGGTTTACGAGGACGGTTGTGTGGATTTGCCCGAACCTTTTCAACTCTTTCATATTCGGTCTAACCTACCAAAGAAATAAGAGAGGTATGGTCGATTAAATTTAAATTACTGCATATTACAAGTGAAAATTTATCATAGTTTATTGATTTTCTATAAAGTAGTGGTTACAAATTATGTTTTACTGTACGTACAGTATATTGCAAATTGGTACATAAATTGATAATTGGTTTTTTCAAACTTAATACGACAAGCATTTGAAGGTAGTTTTTTTATTTGCCAAATAATATACAGTATACTGCATATTACATTCATAAAGGTCTATGAGCGACTCACTTTTTTCCTCTTCTGACAATTATTAAATCACCGAGTGATCATAATTTATTACAAGATCAAGTCTATACTTACAAGGGTTTAAATAAGAGAGTCCTCGTTGTGTATTCTATTTCAAAGGAGGATGTGATCGCCTCTCTAATCTCAGAGTGAAAAAAACTTTACAAGATCATCGTTCTATTTATCACGCTACGCATTTACCATTGAAACTGAATTGAGGCATACAGCCAGTGCCGCAGTAATCTATGGTATTACCGCAGTATCCGGCAGAACTGCAGCAGGGTAAGGTAGACGGGCAGTTTTCACCTCCCTAATTCGATAGGCAAAGAAATTGAAGTAATTTAGGAAATTATTGTCTCTAAAAAATAAAAAAAAAGAAATTACTCACAAAGTTGGGGCAACCCATGTTTTTTGGGAGTGGTCCTTTGGACACAATGGTAACTATCAGAAATTAGAAAGAGCAATTGAATTTTGAATTGTCACAAGAGAGGAAATCCTTCAGAACAAATTGGATAATGCATACAGTAGCTCGAGTATCCCACATCGTTGGCGTTTTGGCTCACGGTGATGGCATAATTACGGCCTGACGGTAAATTCTTAGGGACGATGTAACCGCAACGGCCTACGCTTGCTTTGACTCCGGAGCATATAGTCGCAACATATTGTAAATTAGCCGCGTTTCCGTGCATCAACTTCACGTCGACTTTACCGTTGGTTTGGGGGGTTTCGGACCACACCACATTTACTTTTTTATTCTTCTTCCATGTCACACCGGTGCCTGGTTGCGAGATTAAATAGCTGGCCAGAGTGAAAGAAACTAGGGTGGACAAGAGAAAGATGATTGAAATGAATGAACGCATTTTGATGAAGGAATAAAGAATGGATAGATAGGGAGGAGGTAAAGTGAGGAGGTGTGGTTGTGAGAGTGTGCAAGGGAAACACATGGTGGAATCCTGTTGATTATTTATACTTAAATCGGTGTTTCCCTTTCCCTTATCTTTCGTATAGAACACAGTATGTGGTACTCATGGAACACACGTTAAATTACGTTTATAGCGTAAGCCTTGTGGTCATTTTATTTCTACTGTATATACTTATTTTAGCCTAGATATCCATTTATACGCGTACGAGGATCCATGCAGTATTACATTTGTACACGCAGGCACGGAACATGAGAGCTTTATTTACAAAAATGGGAATCAGATTAATTAATAATTAATTCGAATGAACATTAAAATAAATCGCTATTGTAATACAGTACATAATGCAAGATGAAATTTCATGATTTGGATTTAAGGTAACTAATTATGTTTCAATGAATGAACGTAAATAAGAAGGACCACAGATTTCGTCAAAGCGTAAAACCACAAATTTAATATACGAGACCATTGGATTGATAAGATCAGGTGGATCGGGTCAAAAAATCGAGAAACAATGTCAGTGTGATTGTCAAGCAAATTCGGATGGATTGTGTAACACGTCAACGATAAAATTCAAGAAACACTTTTCGATTATTATTCTATTTTCGATGTCCACCAATTCATCATCAGCACTCACAACAAATCAGTACAAAGGTCCCAATGCGGAGGTCGCAAAACTTTTTCTGGCCTCCCGCCCGAATCTAGAGTATCTTGAATACCTTTTAACCAATTTTATCACGTCACGAAGTAAAACCGAACAAAGATATACGTTGAACTCGGGACTTTCCCTGTTTTTCATGTTTCAGCAAATCGCATACCTGAAACTATCATCGAACGAGACAGGAAGGAAGGAAAAAATCGAATGGGTTAGGATATTCGTGAAGGTGTTCTCAACGCAGGGTTTCCTCGGATTCGTTGGATTAAGTGGGTTCTTGTAAGTTTAGCATGCTGAAAACTTTATCCCGAATGCATTCTTGGAGTCAAAAAGTCATAGTATTTTTTTTCTTAAATAGGAAAGGCTATCAAATAGTAAAGTTTCAACAAGGGAAGAGGCGTCGAATAGGGGAACTTATTGCTGAGGTTGAAGGTGCTTTTCTTCAGAGTTTAGATTCGACTTCCAAACTTTTAGGATGGGATCGAATGGGTAAAAATATCGTGCAGGATGAAGATGGTAGAGTACACATTATTATTATTTTTTTTTTCCGTGAAGCCTTTCTAGATTTAAAATTATTTTGATCTTGGTTTTAGACTCTAAAAAGGAGACCATCGTTTTTGTTTGTGGACAGTGCATTTCATTTATACCTCCTGAACGGCTTGAAAAATGCGATGCGAGGGTATCAGGAATCACCATTATTACTATTGATCAACTTTGTTGGATGTCGAATAACAAAAAAGATTTTTTTTTTTTTTTTTTTTTTTTTGAAAATAGGGAGCAATCTCATATCTTTGTACTCTCTTAGTATTAGAAAGTCCAAGGTTGTTTCATGATGGAAAATTCGTAAACCTGATTACACGGGATATTCAGAATGACCCTGGTCTGAGGTGGAAGGTGAATTTCTCGTACAATAATTAATTCTTCTAATTACTGCCATTGTTAATTCATTTCTCGCAAGTAAACGCAGACAGATTCACAATCCTATAAAGAATTGCAAGCGAAAAATGGCGATCTGCTTTTCCGGGAGTTACCAAAGGTCGCTCGGGGAATCAGCAGCTTGGCTCTGGTTTCCGATAAAAATACCACACTAAACCTTTTCACCTTGTAAGTGTCATACCCATGCGATATTATCTGGACGACCTATTGGTATCAGATTGATAAGTTTATAATCGCTTTCTATAGGATTCATTCCTTTTCTGGGAAATTATTTGCCGCATGGGAAGAATGCCCACTGAGCTTGATCGAAAAAGAGGAATCCTTAGGTATAAAAGGAATTTGGATAAAGCAGTCTGTCATCTTCCCGTATCCTTGGTCAAGCACTCCTTTCTCACTCGAGTGCATTTCACACAGACGACAAGACGAGGGCAGCAACTCCTTTGTTATGGGCAACCTTTAAACCACTCATCTTCTTTGTCACTTTAATTTTCAAGTCTATTGTGGATCAATCGTTATTTCGTCCGGAAATATGCGAACAAGAAGGTATTTTACGTGAACCCTTCTTTTTCTGTTTTTATTTCCATCGATGTAGCTAATAAATCATACTCTCTGAATTCTTTCTTTCTTTTTTTTTTTTTTTTTAATCAATACATTTAGAAAGAAGATTAATTATCCTATCGTATTCATACCTTTACTTCATAACCTCGAAATTTTCACTGTATGGATTTCCTGTATACAAAAAAGTGTTCTTTTCGGTTCTGGACAGATCGTTGGACGATGAATTGGAATCGAAACTGTTGGTCAACACATGTCGACCTCCTGAAGGTAGCACGCCGACAAAAAGAAGTCGGATTACTTATTACTTACTTATTATAGAACAATTGATGCGAGCGTTGGATGATGATACGCTAGAGAATTATGTATTACCTTTCATACATCCGTAAGTCTCGTAGATCATCTGTTCGCAAGATCACTCGCTGAGATTACGATTATGTGTTATTGGTTTATTCATTTACATTTAACTTACACTTGTGCAGGTATACTATCGACAACACGGATTCTCAACTATTCGAATCTGCGCATTCTGTAATCCTTTCCATATTTTCCAACCTCAAACGTGTGTCCAATGAATTGGCTCCGTACTATTGCTCAATGTTGCTCGAGGTAAAAAATAAAAAAAAAAATAAAAAAAAATAAAAAATCGACGGTTCCTGACAAGCGAATTTCTATTGTAGGGGTATCCGACACTCTTCACAATAACACAACTTCGAGCTGCATACACTACGGTCATCAAATCCTTGTCGGATATAGACGATGCATCGGTCTGGTCGTGCTTGGAAAAGCTGATTGGAAAAATAGAGGTCTCTCAGAATAGTGATTCTTCTACCAGCTCAAGTTTACTCGAAAATAATCACAAGGATGAAACGATGTCATCCGAGTCGTCTGATGGTAAACAAGGTAATTTAACAAGTGGTGAGAAGGACGATTCAAAAGATGCCACCAAAAAAGGTGATGATGCCTGGACTGATGGTGATCCCAATGACGAGTACAAAAATATCATTGAGGCTGCGTTATACCTCCGTAGGGGTTATTTACTGCTGACGCTTATCGACCAGGTGCAAAATGTTAACCTCATATTTCTAGAAAAATTATTAAAAAAGATAAAGGAATTCTTGCAAGCCGAACCCGATGGCGTCGGAAAATTGGCATTAAAAAAGGTATTGTTCGACGCACTAAGCACGGGCTTGGATTATACCAAGAGGGACGTGGGTGTCAGATGGTGGTTGTCAGAATGCGATTTATTATAACGCGGATTCTGATGGCGATCAATAAATATATTCGCGACAATTGTTACTTCTTTTAATCTTATCGTTTCGGCTGACAAGGAAACGGAATGAATCGTGGATTCTTAGTCTTCATATTAATATGATTCGCGGTTTTAAAAAAAAATCTAAAAAATTTTTGCAGTTAATGCGCGTAATTGCCGCACTTGATGATCGTGATAGGCACTGTAGGGGTTTTCCAAGTATACTTTACAATAAACGACACCTGCCCCTTTATGTTGAGTTTCATCTGTCCACGAGAAATTAGGAAAATTTGTCTTAAATGGATCAAAGAGCAATTGATCAGAATTTTTTATTTAACCATTTTTAGAATTAGTTGGAACGCAAAGTTTGCATTGCCGACTAATGTATACTTTTTTAAATGGGTGATTTTAGACAACCACGAATTCGATTTTAATAAATGTATAGATACAGGATATTTCATTGTCACAAGATGTTATGTCAATAGATTATTCATTGATATTGATACCCTTCCCCTCCAAGATCTTCAAGGCCACGGAGTGACCATTCAATGCTGCCAACTTCATATATTTAATTCCCGCATTTTCGTCAACAGCCAATGATAATTTCCCATTCAAATACATGTCTCCTAGGTTATACTGAGCCATGGCATTACCGGAATCAGCAGCTTTTGTCATATAGTCGATAAAATCTGAACGAGTCAACTTCACTCCCGAGCTTTTGTCGAACTTCAGCATCGCATATCGGAAGCAAGCATCCCCGCTATCATCATCGGCGGCTTCTTTAAATAGGCTGGCTGCCTGTACCACGTCTTTGTTCACGAATTTTCCTTCAGCTAGGTAGCAAGCTTTCCAATATTTGGCGGTGCTATTTCCTAGATCGGCATGCTCATCGAAAATATCCCAAGCCGTTTTATAATCTCCCGCTTTATGAGCGGCGATGCCTTCTTTAAGTGGTCTTATCTCAGGAATCTCTGGGATCAAGAATTCTGATTCGTATAGTGAATCGGACCTTTGCTTATCAGATTTGGTCCCATCGAGGTCCAAGTGGCCATCAGGATAAAGGGGAGTCTGAAAGCATGGTTGACCGCACACTTGCGATAATCGAAGAAGCTCCGAGAATATTTTCGCAAGTGTAATTCGAGATTTCGGATTCCCCTCCCAGGCTTGATGATGCGTTGTGAAGAAATTAGATCAGCAAAAAAAAACAAAAGAAAAAAAAAAAATCAAGATGATACACATGGTTTTCTGCGAAGGGATCTCCTCACCGGCAGTAATTATTTCCCTCAAACCCCTCTGTAGTCTTTGATACTCGGGAGTAGTTTGTCCGAACGAGATCTTTTCACGATCACCACTTTTAACAGTTTTTATTATTTGTTCCATTTCCATATCTGCATATGGAATCTTCTCAAACGCCAATTCCCAAAGTAACATTCCAAAACTATTAGTGAGTGATTAAGAGATGTCAGGGAATATGATCGGTGATTTCCAAGACATCCTTGAATAAGTAAAGTAAAACGTTCACCTGAAAATCTCACATTTGAAGGTGTATTTTTGCCCTACCATCTTTTCGGGTGCCATCCAACGTATTATATTACCAATATTGTCAATCTCGGTGGAATTTTGATCTGTTTCACGGGAATACTTGAAATTCGCTATCTTCGGTTCGATTTGCGAGTTCATCTGACGAACAACTTGGTTAGTATTAGGATTCGGAAGAAACGTTGACCCAAGATTCTGAAAATGATTTACCATAATGTTTTGGCACCTAATGTCGTGGTGAAGGACGTCACAGGACTGCAAAAATACCAAACCTCGACAAATCTCCAGAGCGATGTGAATTTTTCTATCCCAATCGAGGTCGTTCTTCTCATACAATTCCTTGAGATTTCCATTGTCGGCCCATTCAAACACCATCACTTGATCATCTTCCAAGTTTGAGAGTCCATAGAATCTTAGAATATTTGGACACTCTTTTAACTTTCCTAATATTACGAGTTGCGCTTGTATCCTTTGACCTCCCGGCGTTTGGTCGTCTAAGATCTTTGTGCGTTTGCACGCTACATCATTCCCCCGATACAATTTTTTAACCACCGATCCAACATCCTTTGCGATTAATGGATCTTCCAATTCTTTTGAATTAATTTTGACCGCCTTGAATTGAAAATTACCCACTTTCTCATTAATGGTTTTCACCTCTTCAAAAATTGCGTTAATTTCCGAATTGTTGTTAGTGACACCTCCTTTGATGGTTTCCAGAAACTGAAAAGTTGGAACGAAATGAGGTTTACGTTGGTGTCATTGAATGTGATTAAGGATACTCGTAAATTTTACCTGTTTCATCTCTTTAACGTCGACATCAAGATTTTCTTGATCTATTTGTCTCTGCTGTTCGCTATTAACAGTTACAGTGAAGTGCAAGTCGCTCATACTTTTTTCAAACTCATTGATTAAGCCTGTAAATCGTTGTTGAACCGAATTCGCAACCCAGTACTTCTTGAAACCCGAGAGGTTCGAAACCTCTTCCATGAAATTCTTCATCTTCTTTAGTAGCTCCACAAATCCGTAAAATGCTTTATGATCACACATTCTTGGTTGAAGTTGTAGAATTTCAACATTGGCCTTTGCAATATTGACTCTGATCAATAAGGAAGCGCAAATATTCTTATTGTGTTGTGCATTCTCATAAATCTCTACCACCTCATTAACAATTGAGAAGACCGTACTGATTAGGGGAACGAAAGGTTGCGCTCCATCAGCAATCTTCCCTGCCACATTTAGACTACCTTTAAGAATGTCATATTTGTTGCCCAGAGTAACCACACTTTGAACGTCGGTTATGGCCGTTTGTAAAGCTGCCGCCATTATTCGTACGAAATGACAGGATCGAATTTTTTCACACACCAAAAAACTGTGTATATATGTGCGACATATTGAGTCGCACAGTAACCACACCGAATAACCATTACAGTTTAATGTATTGTTTGTACGCGCTGGGTCCTTCCTTTTCCATGTTTGCAACAACGCAATAGACACGATGAATACGTGAATAAAATGTCCGAATGGCAAAATAAGAAGTCGATTACTAAATAAGAACTAGTGTGCTCATTTGATTTTAATTAAAATCAGATTTTTTGGAAATAATTGGTGCGGATTCGTGTATAATCAAGAAAAAAAAACAAATAAAAAAATATATTCAAATCTAAACCAAATTAAAATTCCATTGACAAAATTTATTAGATAAAAATCAAGCTTCTCTTGGACTATCCCAATTTGGTATATGCTTAAATAAAAAAAATAGTTGGATTAACTATCTAAATATTATAAATGGTGACAAAGAAGACTTCTTTAAACTAAAGTAAGAATATCCTAATCAAATAAATTTCTTTTAAAATGAGTTGATTTATTTGATTGCTTTTTTATGAAGATTTGAATTGCTTTCTCTTCTATTCCATTATTTCTCTTTTCTTTTTAATCTTAATCTTAACAATTCAATTCTTGAATCAATTAATAATAATAAAATATTGATTATAATCTTGATAGATAAAGATAAATTTAATTTAAGTTAAATTATATTTGTATGAAGATGAATTATAAAATATATAATATTTTAATATGATTATAGATTAAAAAAAAATTTTTTTTAAAAGTTTTTTTTATTAAGATGAAATTAAAATATAAAAATATAATATATTCTAAATATTTTTAATCTTCTGTTTAGTTAATTATATATACTTTATTAAATAAAATAAGTTATATAAATATATTAAATATATATAATATTAAACCTAAATCTATAACTAACTCACTTGTCTTTATTAATTTATACTTTATAAATAATTTTGAAAGTAAATTATTATTCCACTTATAATTTAAGTAAATAATACATTTCTAACTATAAATATTATTATTATTTTTTTTTATACCCATGGTCAGACCAGTACTGTGTATTTATTAATCATTAAAAAAACTGATCGAGATACATAGGGCAATTACATCATGGCTAAACTAAAATCTTGTACTTACACACTTATCAGTGACTTTCAATTCTCTAAGAGCTTCAGCCTATAAGTGCAACCTTGGGGACAATATTTCGCTCAAACTAAGTTTTGGTTGAAGACCCTCCTAACTTATCCATCATTACCAGCAAGTTATCACTACTTATTATTCTTCAAGAAACTGAATTCAAGAAACTACAAAAGGAAAAAGGAAAAAATAAAGGGGAAAGGAAATATTTAAAAATGTGCAAGCGTACTTACATAAAAAAGAAAAAAGAAAAAAGAAACTTAAAATTGCTTCATGTCCTCCAAAGGACCTTGGCTAGAAACCTTTTCTCATTAAGAATCAACCTTTTTGGAATATCTTTCTTCTTTCTGACTATCTGAGAAACTTATCCATCTGTGCTCTTGATTATTTTCTTGTGACCGTCTGAGGTACTTATCACTTACTCAGATCCAGTATCTT